GATTTGTGTGAGTCTATGGGGTTGAGGTTGACCTTTGGGAGCACTCCATCCCCAAACAACCAAATATTTTTATTTTTACAACCAGACTTGCAAAGTCAATTCCAATACTGTATATTACAAAATATAGATGTGCCTGTAATAACATATTAACCAGTAAACTACTCCATAATACTTTATCTAGAACACTACATGAATTGCATTTCATGTGAATCTTGATGACGGATTGCATATCAAAACAATATTTACAGATTTTTATTTATTATGTGATACAAGTTATGATATAGTGGTGCAAAATCCTTGAAGGGTGGGATGGGTGGTAATTTGAAGTACTTTGCCACAGAGGTCATACAATTTGCAAGTGACACAATGAGGAACAGGTGGGAAATTTGTCTGAGCATGCGCGAGCAAAATGAGTCACGCAATTGAGTGGAATACACGCAACGCGTGTTTACAAAAAGGCACAATCGTGTAAATATTGCCAAATGTTTGTACAAAATAAATGACTGTTTTATGTTGAAAATGGACATGATCTAAATTAATCATACAGAATTTTTTAGTGACGTTCTATTTCAGTACCCTGCCATTGTCTCTGGTGGGTTGTCCGTGTGCATTCGATCTGAAACAGTTGCTACTTTGCTGTCGAAGAATTTCGAATGTTTACATGAAAATAGAGGCAAGTCATGCATTTTACACCCTCTTAAACTGTATGAGCCCCTATTTTTACGCTTATACCCAAGATATCAAATAAAAGTACATGAAACAGAGAACATTTGTAGAAAGTTTTATCGTGAGGCCACGGCCAGTTTTTAAAATATCTTTATTTCTGTTCCGGTCATCACCAAAATTACACTAAAGCCGGGCTTGAATATACAACAAATTTTGAATCTCATCAAGTACAAAAATATTTAACGTGTAACCAAAATATGCTCACGAAATCGAAATTAATAGCTAAATTTTCAATCTAGACCCTTCTTGGGCCGGTTTTCGTGAAGGAAGTTCACATTTCGGCCTTTGATTCTTGGGAAAAATTTGACCACAACACGTGCGAAGCAACTGGGTCTCAAAGACTCAGCTAAAACATTGTGAGCCCCTATTTTCCTGACGATATGTTTGATACCCACAAACGCCGAAAAGTTTTTTCTTTTCATTTAGCTATATTTGAAATTGAGGCCACGGGCTATTTTTGAGAAAATACAGTTCAAAGTCAAGCTATTTTTACATATTTTCAAAATTTGTCAAATTTCGCGAGCTTGTATTTTGAACTTAGATAGCTGAAGTTACATTAAGAAACATAGGATGGAAAATTTGAGGCATATAAAGTTAATTTCAACTTACATTTCATTCTCATATCACGTCTTTCTTCGTTTATTACGGTTTTAAACAAGCCACAGATCGACGTATACGGTATTTACTCCCATGTTCACGTCGCCATATTAACTTCTTCCAATCACTCGATTATAAAACAAATCATCCCAAAACAAAGACTTCATAGTCGACTTTTAAAAGAATAACCGTTAATTTGTAAATCGTTGAATGGAAAGCAAAAAATCGTCAGCTAAAACAGCTTCTTGCTAACTTTCTGCTTTGTTTTGAATGTAAATGCAATGAGCTTTGTTTCTGCCCGCGATTTTTTGGTCAGCGACGACAAATTTCCCACCTGTTTTTGATCCAAGCAGGAAACTATGTAGACGAAGAGGTGAAACCTGATTGGTCTATTTTCCCGCACGCATGGGAAGAGATTTGACAATGGTTTGTTGTTAATTCAGCCTTGCGCTTTGCACGTGTATGATCACACGATTCACAGATTGACCTTTGTACTCCAGGAGACTTTGCACAACTTTACTCTTGTCCTAACGCTTGTTTCATTAACTTAAGTTTATAATGCTATGGGCATGTATAAACTCGCTTTAATGTACCAATTCGTTAAGCAAATATTCTAGGACAATTAAGAAAACAACTATGACACACACAATGTTGTGGGAGAAGGGTTGTCGAGGAGAAATGCTCCGATTATACTTTAAACTGTGACCAAAGTGTCACCCCACAGACTCACTATTGCAGCAATATGATTATGATATAATTATATGTCCTCAGGGGGTTGTGGTTCCCCCATGTTGGACTTTACCCAAGGGGTAGTAGATCCCCGAGATGGGCATCTTAAATGTCCAAGGGGTAGTAGATCCCCGTGATGGTCATTGTTTACTTTAATGTCCAAGGGGTAGTAGATCCCCGTGATGGTCATTGTTTACTTTAATGTCCAAGGGGTAGTAGATCCCCGTGATGGTCATTGTTTACTTTACAATACACTGTTTAATACATTGATTTGTGTGAGTCTATGGGGTTGAGGGTGACCTTTGGGAGCACTCCATCCCCACAAATACACAGCATGTGTATTCCCCATAGACGAAAAAACCCAACTCCCACCACAACTGTAATCGTATAGAAGATAGATGATCTTTGTGCTTTTCGAAGACATATCGTCTATATTTCTCTTTCGACACACTTTAAATAATTAATTGATTAAAATCATGTTATATGCAAATAGATTTTTTTTTTTTTTTTTAAACTACAAGTTGATCGTAAGACATATATTTGAGCATTACCACCACTCATACTACAGCTGGAACATCAGGGAGGCCAGGAAAAACCTGCAATATCTTTACAGGAAACCTGGATGGGGCCAAGACAACCAGCAGCTTCCCCACAAAGCTTCTATCTTACAAGTGCTTGATTGGAGGGTTGGTAACACGACAAACAAAGCTCACCATCATTTTTTTTTTCCTTACGATTTATTTATTTTTAATGTCAATGTGTTCGATAGCAATTTTGCAACATGTATTTGTTAACCCCACTTATTTTATTTGAATTATGATTGGTGGAACTTGACATAATGTAATTCTCGAATTATATGACTTTAATCTCAGGAAAAATAGCTTGTTCAATATTTTAAAATAGCAGGATCAAAATGCAATTCAGGTGTTTTTAACCACAGTGTTGTGATTGAACATGCAATCATGCATGCATGAGAGTAGCAGATATTGTAAGAATATGTATTTGGTAGACTAAAAAGATCATGCACTATATACATACCAGATTGAATAATTCTTTTGCCGTTATCTATAAAAAGGAAAATCGAAGCTTCCCCAATTGCAGTATATTTTATAGAGTATAAAAGTGCGACTTTATCAGGCTAATACGGCTGTACACGAACCGACCTTCAAAAACTCATTAATAATTCATGAAGCAATTATCCAATCTTGAGTAAGAAATTAGTCACGTGCATACGTCTTTATACCAGCTAAAGAACACTTTAACAAAAGACCATTGTTATGCAAACTATGTAAAGGTTTTTATATAAAGGTTTTTATATAAAGATTTTTATATAAAGATTTTTATATAAAGATTTGACTTATTATGCATACGTTTTTGAAGTCATTTAAAAAACTCGCGGGTCGTGTTTTATTAGGTCTAAAGCCACTCGCGCTGCG